GGAAGGCTCTCCTAGCTTTACTCTCTCTACTTATTGACTTATCTTTCAATCCTTTCCTTTCAGATACTGTAGTATGAAATTAATATCCATATTAACTGTATACTACTCAATAAACACACACGTACTATCATAGGAATGTAAATTAAGTATTGAAATATAGTATTTATGTTTCAACTACCATATGCCTTAATTTAGGCATGAATTACTTTATTTTCCACACTTAATTACATTCTAGAAATATTAAAATAACAACTAAAGTAATAAGACTTAATAACATATTAAAAATATGCTAAACTCTTTACAAACTAGTGGAATATAAGGTTTCCATCATATGAGTAGCTTGCCTTCCTTTGGCTATATCTCTAGGTCCTTAGTTCAATTTGTCTTGAAATTTTAACAGTATCTTGCGCACATCTCAAGCTACTCTCATATAAAATTTCATGAATTTTGGAGCTCATTTACATAGCTAAATAACCTAAACATAATACCTAATTTTCAGTCAACCTTTCCACTGAGCATCTTGTATTCATTTAACGATAACTCTATTTCTCTTCATCCATTGTACTATCCCTTTTACCACAGCCTTTCCCAATATCCTAAAATGGTGTTCTATAAAATTTCATAAATTTTGGAGCTCATTTACCTATTTAACCAAGTCTACCTTAGTGAAGGAATTTCAGGATGCTCAATTGTGACAGACTTAAGCAATACTTTACCTCCTTAAGCATCCTTAACTTAATTCCACCTCTAATTCATGCATAACAACTCTTCTAACACTTAAATAACATAATTACCTTTCATATATCAGAATACCTAATCCATAGATTATCAATCAAATCAACTCTTCTAATACACCTTAAATAACGATAAATTACCGTTCATATATTCCCGAGATATACCGATAATCCATAGATTATCAATCAAACATGACATAAAATTATTATGTTGGCAATTATGCACAAAAGCATTGACGATCAAGAATTCCATGCTTAACCATCCTTAATGCGCTTAAAAGCACTTACTAACACATGCATCCTCAGCACAAAAGCGTCAGACAACATAAGCAAAGCACTGCAACGTATCATAAGTGTTATGGAATCAAGAATAAAACCATCGGAAAGAAAAAGAAGAGAAAGATAACCATCCTTATCCTTACACTGACGACAACACTTGAGAATTCCTAAGTTTTTCAAATGGCAACTTTTAGCTACCTTAAGAGTTTCTCCATCTCTCTTTTCATGGAGCTTCGCCATATGTTAGCAAAAAATTGAGCAAGAGGACCTTAATGTTCATCATAGAATAGGTGGCGAATTCAAAGCCTTTCATGGTAATCTGAGCCACTCAATGATCCTTTAGTTGTGCTTTTTTGCTCCTTAATCCTTTCCTTTATTTATTGTCCTTTAGTTGTCTTTTTGCTCCTTAATCCTTCCTTTGGTTCTCTTTTCTTACGATTGCACTTAAATCTTTTTGATTACTTTATTTTAGTCCCAATTAGGTCTATACCAAGTCTATTTAATAATTCCAGCCATGTTTAAGCAACACCATACTAAAATTATTGATTTTCGGGACTTTTGGGTAAAATTATGCTTTACCGGAAAATCATTCTTCTTTAATTTATTTTTAATTCCCTTTAATCTTTCAAATTAATTTATAAATACTTTAATTTTCATTTAATTAATATTACTACCCTCTAACTATAGTGTTTCTCGTCATTCCCAAATTATAGATTACTCGGATAACCGAAATTACTGAACAAGCTAGAATACCAAGAACTACCAAATTGAAGATATATATACACACAATTAAAACTTAATCAAATGTCTTAGGTGATTTAACATTAATCCATTAAATGTTAAATCATGGTGCTAGCTTAAGGAGCTTCTTGTGCTAGCTTCTCATCATCAAAACTTAAGCTCATTTAACATTCTTCTAATTTGATTTTCATAATAAAATTGGTTTCCATTAAACATTGCATCTTATAATTAATAGTTCCTCATTAACAAATTAAAGTTATTCCAATTATTCTATCCTTTCGAATAACCATAATTATCATAATAATCAGAATATTCGAGACTGTCAAATTGGGGGTATTAAAGGCTTGCAATAGCCAGCATCGTCGGCGGCCATCCTGTACTCTCAAAGCAGTCACGATGTGGTCAAAAGAGTAAAGACTTCTCTTCCCTTGATTGAACGGTGACTATCTCATTGGAAAATCGCATGTTCATATATATATCATGTGGAAAATTCACATGTTCATCATATAGTGAATATATTTAGGTAAATATACCCATAATATATATCATTCAGCTAAGTAACTATTAGAACACCAGACAACCACTTATATAAACCAGCAACCACCGCTAGTCAGGACCTACACCAATTATCAGAGCTCGTGCAAGGAGGTGGTTTTATATTACTTTAAAACCGATGCTAGGCATGGCCGGTTCATTGAACGGCCAGTTCAAAATTTTTAAAATATTGAACCTAAACCCGCTATTGAACCGCCGGTTTTGGTCTGGTTCTGATTCCTGCCGGTTCCGGTGCTGTTCTGATGTATTGATGGTTCCGATCACGGTTTCTGGCGATATTTATTATTTTTTTTAAAAAAAAAAATCGGTTCTAACATTACATCTTTCTTTTGAAAATATTAATATGAGTTTAAAAAACATTGGTAAATTTTATTTTAAATAAATTTTATTTATTTAAATAAATTTAGAATGCTCATACTTCACTTTAAGAAAATGTAATTAATTTTTACAAAATAATCAAGATAAATTACACTTATGTATTTGTTTAGAGATGTTATTATGTAACGACAGAATCGTAGAAAGGTAAAATTTTGAAAAAGGCCTTCAAAGAATTGTAATTTGAAACTCTTAGGTAAAGCCAATTTAAAAGTAAAGAAAAAAGAAAAAGGAAGAAGGTTAAAAAAACAATATAAGTAAGGACTTACGAATCATTTTTCTTTTTTTACCATTTTTACAAGTTAAAAACAATATAAGTTTAGACTAAATATTTTTCTTTTTTTACCATTTTACTCTTTAGATTTTAACTTTTAAAGTAAAGTGTATTTAAAAAAAAAAAATCTTAAGTAAAGTATATCATGTAGTAAAATATTATCGAGACTTTTAAAGATGTATAAAATAGGCTTAGTGATTCTCATTTTGAAAATAAAAATAGAAAATTTTCAATTCAAACTGGACCGGAACCGCCGATTAACCACCGGTTCAGGTTCGATTTAGGTTCAGATTTTAACATTCATATGAACCTTAACGGGCCCTTAAATCATCGGTTCTGGTTCAAAACGTTGAACCGATGGTTCTGGTTCGATTCCGGTTCATCATAGTAAGATTTGATTTCAGTTAGATTCCGGTTCAAAATGAACCGGCAGCCATGGCTAACCGATGCATGCGTGTCGCTTGCAGCTCACGAAGCCTAGGCTACAACAATGACAGATTGTATTTTTTAGTTCTTTTACTATTTGAAAGCCTTTTTAATTGTTTTATTTGATTAAATCATTGTTTAATTGAAATCAACGTATAAAAATTCTAAAAAATAATCTAATTAATTCTGAAAATTTACAGCACCATTAATATTAATTTTTATCAAAATATCAAATTCTCAGCATGTAAATTAATTTGAAACTAATCCAATAATTAATATATTATTTTACATCTTAATGTGTAGGGATGTAAGTGGTACATGTATTTTAAGGTACGCGCTCTGTTACGATTCATTTAAAGAGAATATGCGTAGTTATAAAAGGGTTTGAAATGGATATGGATAATGAAATTATTACCTGTAACGGATATGGGCAATGAAATTAATACCCTTAATGAATACAGATATGGTACATGTATAGATATTTAGATATCCGCTACCCATTAACCGTTATATTAAATAGGTTCGATAGTGGATACTTAGGGGTACCCTATCTATTATTAGTTAACAATGTATTTTAAATAAATTCGATTTTTATTAGTTTAAGATTCTCAAGCACCCTAACCGTTAAGAGGTAATTTAAAGGAGTTTTGGGCAGATATGGATAGTAAAATTTAAACGGGTTCAAATACAGGTACTTAAATGAGTATTTAAATGAGCTTAGAACGCAGACGAATAATAAATTTTTAAATGGATACGTTTAAAATTCACGGGTACCCGCTCTGCTTCCATTCTTATCAAGGAGTATATTGGATTTGGATTAAGACTCTGTTAGATTTTAAAAGATTTTTAAAATTTTTGAGTTGGAGGATGAATTTATAAATGACTCTTTTATTCAAATCTAGCACTTTAAAAGCCGATGAAATCAATAATTTTATAAAATCCTTCTAAATCAGTAATTTTTCAAATAGTATCAAATTTATATGGAGTTTTAAAAAGTCATAATTGAATACCATCATAATTTTATGCATTTTATGAGATTCTAAATTGAATACCATAAAATTTTAATATACTCCAAAAAATCTAAATTGAATACTATTGAAATTTTAAAATCTTTTAAAATTAATAAAATCTTAATCCAATAGACTTTCCTTAGTCCAATACACCCTTTTAAAAGAAAAAAAAAGTACACCATAACATAGCTTAACAGTAGATGCATATACAACTTAACAATAGATAAATACAGTTTCGAATCTCTGTTTCCTAATATTAAAAAAAAAAAAAAAAAAAAAAAAAATAAAATCCTATAATCCAATAGAATCTATTCCATTAGTTCCCAGATATCAACCACTTTAAAAGAAAAAAAAGTATCAAACACCCATAACATAGCTTAAAAACAGTAGACTGCATAATGAACAAACTCGAATAGATAAATACAGTTGTCGAATCTGGTTTCCGTAATATTAAAAAAAACAAAAAAAAAAAGAAGAAAAGAAATTCCTCTTAAGTCTGAAGGTGCAAGTGTAGAAAAAAAAAAAAAAAAAAAAAAGAAGAAAAAAATTCCTCTAATCTAAGTGCAAGTGAGTTCTCAACTGTGGATTAAAATGGGGATACTTGCCACTGAAAAAATATTATTAAAAAAATCCCCAAAGCCAAATAGATTGGAAATGGAAATACTGTGTTCCTACGTTGCTCTCTTACCCAACTGCACTTGCCCCACCCCAAGCTTTCTCCAAATCTTTCACCGCCGTTCCCATCATAGAACAAAATCAAACCCTCTTTCCCTTCTCAAATACCGAACCCGCTCCAAAAATATATGTTCCCTCACTTTCTTTCCCACAAGCTATTGTATAGACCAAGAAAATTACCAGTCCAGCAACAGCACAAGCTACTCGCACCATTCGTTATTTGAGCAATCCCGGTCTTCCATTGATAGTAAATTTATTACTAACCAAAACCCAGAAACCCAAAACCAAGAACAAGAAGAAAAAAAAATCAAGAAACTCAAAAGACTTTTCACAAACATGTGGTGGGTAGATTTGAAAGCTGCATTGGGCCAAAGAATTAACGTTGAAGGGATTGTTTCTTCAGTGTCAGTGTTCGTTAAAGAGCAACATTTGGCTCTTCCCCATGCATCAGTTCGTGATATAAGGTTTATTGATTGGGCAGAGCTTCATAGAAGAGGCTTTAAGGGTGTTGTATTTGATAAGGATAATACAATAACAGTGCCTTACTCTCTGGCATTATGGGGTCCTCTTGTTTCTTCAATAGAGCAGTGTAAATCGGTCTTTGGCAATGATCTTGCTGTTTTTAGTAACTCTGCCGGTAATTTTTGCTTTGTCTTTTTGTAATATTTTCTGGTTATCATCTCTGTTGATGCTGTTTACTGATAATTTATTGCATTTTCCGTTATTGGTTTAATGAGTTAGGCCTATATGAGTATGATCATGATGGTTCGAAAGCCAGAGCACTTGAGAAGGCTATTGGGATCAAAGTCATAAGGCATAGTAAGTTTTTGGCTGCCAATTTAAGCTCTAATGTTATAGCCAATCTATACACTTCAATGCTTCATAGTTTAATTCATTATTAACGTTGAAAACCTTGATCTTTAGCTGCTTGAGATTCTGGCCGACTAATTTATGTATAATTTACTTGGAAAACACATCAATTCTAAATTTTAATATCCTTGATTCATGTTTGGTTCGCTCTGGGATTCGGAATGGAATTTAAGTCTTGGAATATGATTCCTTTTTTTGGGTTTCATTCACAAGGAATCCTTTTTTTTTTTTTTTTTTTTTTTTTTTTTTTTTTTTTTTTTTTTTTGGGGTTTCATGACACAAGGAATCCATATATTTTTGTTTTTTTTTTTTTTTTGTTTTTTCTTTTTTGATTTTTTAATCCTGAGATAATTTGAGAGAGAGAGAGAGAGCAATCTATTTTAAACGTCAGTAAATATTACCAACAAAGCAGAAACTCAAATTAAGCTATGAAAAATATTGGATTTTTTTTTTTTTTTTTTTTTTTTTTTTTTTTTTGATTTTTTTAATCTGAATAATTTGAATTTATATTGAAATGATATCTATTTTAACCATAATAACCAACAAACTCAATTAGCTATTTGAAAAATATTGGAATAGAATTCTTTGAATTTGGACATCTATGTCCACTCTGATTCCATTTCCAGGGTGAACCAAACATGCCCTTGGTGCTGTGCCTAATCTAAAAAATAGTGATATGGCTTCTGCTAATTATGCTACAGAGGTGAAGAAACCAGCGGGAACAGCTGAAGAAATAGAAAAGCACTTTGGCTGTAAATCATCGCAACTTATAATGGTATATATCACAAACTTTCAAGTGCTTTACTTGTTTTTTCTATTCATTTTAGATGGATAGCGAAATTGTGCTTGTGACAGGTGGGTGATCGACCCTTCACTGATGTTGTTTATGGGAGCCGAAATGGCTTTTTGACTATATTAACTGAGCCATTGAGTCTTGCTGAGGAGCCATTCATTGTTAGGCAGGTTGGTATTCTCCTCTTTCATGCATGACTATCATTTTTGTCATATTCCTTCACCAAAAGAGTGACCAGTTACATAATATATTTCCATGCTTTTTTTGCTGCTATGGTACTTAGTGCATGAGGTTTCAACTTATGAAAAGGAGTTCAGTAGGAGGACTTATTGTGGCCTCAAAATCCCTAACTTCTAGGGTCTTAGCCTAGGGTTTTTGTTCTGGTTCTTTTTCAAGAGAATACATCTAAAAGCTCCATTATTCATTCATGAACATAAACCTAATTCTCCTTATGTCATTGCCTTCTTGGAATCTTATTATGCGCTAGACACATTCATCATGTTCACTGAATGGCTTTTAGATTTTTGTTCAGATTTCAATTCCTGGAACTTATAGAATAGCTGAACACCGTATCCTGAATATTGAAAAAACACCTTTAGTTACTGGATTTTCCATACATATTTCTTAAGGCACTGGATGTCAAAATGTTGCTTGCCTAATGGGCAGAACTACTAGCATTTTAAAGTAAAGGTGTATTTTTAATCCCATTCTCTTCTTCTCCCGTTGGTCCGATAAATGGATTTAGTAGACATATGTAAAATTGAAATTTTTATTTTAAAAATGGAGTAGGTTGGTTATAAAAGATTTAAGTTGAATGGAAGAACAAGGCTTTTTTAAACAGTAAATGTATGTCCTATTTGGAACAATTAGCCATCATTTGATTGGGGACAACTTCATTTGTTGTTTGCTAGACTATTGGAAGTGGTTGCAAAAGATTTACGGTTTTTGGATTTTAGTGAGGATGTAGCTATGAACAAAACATAATAGAGAAAAAAGGTTCATGTAGTAAACCATAGTTAGTCGCTGTTGCCTATTTTGTTTGTTCTATTTATTAATATATCAAATGATTTTAAAATTTTCCTTTAAAAATCTTTTCCACAAAAAATATTTCGAATTTTTTCCCGACTAAATTTTGCTTTGCGTTATATTGACCAGAGTAGATATTGGAAACAAAAGGTTCATACAGCTCCTTAACTAGTTTGGGACATAGGCTTAGTTGTTGTTGTTTTGGCTGCCAGGCTTAACAGGAAGAAATAGCAAGGAAAAGAGAGGGGGGGGGGGGGGAACTAGTTTGGGACATAAGGGCTTTAGTGTGTTGTTTTTGTTTTGGCTGCCAGGCTTAACAGGAAGGATAAAATAGCAAGGAAAAGAAGGAGGGGGGGGGGAAGGAGGGGGGGGGGGTGAGAGAAGAAAGGGAGGGGGGAGAAGAGAATTTAGCATCTACTGTTCATCTTTAACAGAATGACCAGAATAGTGAAAATAGAAAGGGGGGAGGGGGGGAGAGAGATTTAGATTACTGTCATCTTTACAAATGCAATAGAAAAGAAAAATGAAAAACTTGGTTACAGTGATTGCTAAGAGACTAAGAACAGGGGAAAAAGAGAAGCTACTGTACAAATAGCTGAAGTGTCATTAATTTTATAAATTATGTAGAAGGTGAAAATAAAATTGAGGAATGAAAATAGATGGAGGGAGACTAAGAGAGCATGCATAAGAGACAAACAAGGTTGCAAAGCCATTAGACAGAAAGAGGAGGTAGATCATGAGAGCAGCACATAGTATTGAGCCAAGGAAAATGCTTTTCACCATTTTAGCTAGGATGCCTTTTAAATGATAGAGGCCTGCTTAGAAGAATATCCATTAGTTAATTTCATAGCAGCATATTTCAAAGGAAATAGATGTGCTCTTTGATTTTTTAATAAGATTAAAGCACAATGTTTTCTCCTCAGGTTATTGGGTCTTTTCAAATCAACGGTTATTTGTTGAAATATAAAGCAAGTGATTATTAGGCTCATCATAGTGCTTGACCTAACTGTCTCTTGACTATGTCAACAAAACTGGCCTAGGCATCTTATATAATCATCTTGTAACCTAGGCAGGTGTATGCTTCACATTTGAGATCCAAAGCTTAAAAAGAACATGAAGGCTTAATAACTGTTTTCCCATTTGTCTAGCTGAATATGTTATTAAATTTGTCAATTATGTCACCTAAGAGCTTGCTTGGATGGAGGATTTGGATTGAAGCTCAAAATTATAATTTCAACTCTTATTTTAAAATCTGAAAGAACTGGAATTGGGTAGCTTCTCTATTGAAGAGCTCAAGAGCATTACCCTCCAAATATCATGCTGAAAAAATAAATGAATAAATAAAGACTCCATAACCTGTAGAAATATTAAAAATTTCTTTCAAGTTTGAAACTTAGTCAACCCTGAATTTATCAACCTTATTCAGCATTGGATAATAGCTATCATCATTAAATCAACTGAATCACGCCTTGCAGCCATGTAAGAATAACAATAATTAAATCAATTATGCCTATTTGTTTAACCTACTATGAAATAAGAGTAGTAGAGAAAGAAAGCAACAATGATCTCACACAATAGAGCACAATGAGTTGGTTGTTTTGAAGTGGGGAGCACTTGATTTCATAATAGTGGTAGGAGGTACCAAGTTGGAGAAGAAAGCCAAAGGTTGGCATGTCACAGTAGCGAGGACACTATAGGGACTAGAATAGAAGGCCTTGTTATGGCAAGATCATAATGATATGAAGATAGTGAGTGGCAGGGGAAGTTTGGACAAGGAGGGTGAGATGTTGTGAGAAGGTAAGGCCCAGAATTGCTGGTATTCATTCTCAGTGTCAGTTCTGGTTTCACCGTTCATATTCGTTGGCTAGGGTTGAGGGTTTGATCTTGAAAGGTGAAGCAGTAAGATTCAAAGGGAGAGGTGCATTTGCAGTTATTTTTCAATACCAAGCAATTGGGAAAGGTTTTGTGTCCGTCTCTAAAGCATATTCCAAACAGAGACTGGGCATTTGGGAAATGGGCCGCTTAATTCCAATTTTCATCTCCAATTCCTAGCCCTATCCAATCACTAGAAATGGTGATCTTTAGATAAAATTTTATATCATTAATGTTTGTCAGAGAAATCTTTTCATTGTCAATGCTATATATATGTCAGAAACCCTCTCAATCCTTCATTAATAGCCACTATGCCTTTGCCTTCTTGAATTGTGCATTGATTTTCACATGGGAACATGTTTTTTCCATTCTCTCATATAACCTGTTTGATATTTCATGTGATTAGTTTTTTTCATTCAATATTTTATGCTTGATGTAGCATCTGTTAACATTATTAGTATCGGAAAACATCAGTTGTATGAAATTTTCTTAAGATGCAAGGGAAAGTAAAATGAAGTTAGTGAATATTGAAATGACAATTGTAGTTTAACAAGTTAGTTTATTTATGTAGCTTCACCTTGCAGAGAAGGTTTATGCTTTAGTTTTATTGCAATTTTTGGAGATAAAAAAGAAACAAAAGGGAAAAAGAGTAGATCGTTATAGCTGCATTTCAATATTGGTTCTGATTGAGATGTAAAAAATGTTCACAGGTGAGGAAACTAGAGTTGTCACTTACCAACCGATGGTTTCGGAGAGGAATGAAGCCAATTTGTCATGGTCTACTGCCAGATGCCTCACAATGTGTTAAAAAAGATGTACAACCTCTGTAAAAAGGTCAAAAAAATACACACAGCTATGAACAATTCTTTCCTTGGTTATTTCATCCCCCTTTTTTCCCCGAAAGATGTTGTAGTCAATGCTTTTTTTTTAGTAAAATTTTTAAGATTGACCACAATCTGAATCTGAAAATTCAAGAGAGGAATATAATAGAAATCCAGTTTTGCATTGGAGTACCTATTCTGATAGAATGACTTATCTTCATCCTATATTTATTGCTAGTACAATTGGTCCTGCATTTTTATAGGGCATATTTGGGAGCCACTCATGCAGGAATAATGAGTTGCTGCTAATATTCATAATGTAATTATTTCATCACAAAAGTTGTCATTTCATTTAAAGATTTAATTGTTTGAGTGAAAAGACATGATTGTTCTCTTTCTTATAAATTCCACATCATTTAAAGAAATAAGCAATCTGCTCTCAGCCCATCTCTGCCCAACAACTAAATTTTTCCCTACATAAGAGAAGGCTAATGTCATTCTTGATACTGTGGATAAATGTGAGAATAATAGAATTTTGGATAGTGCCTTTAATGAAATTTGAATATCTTGAAATAACATTAGTAATGACCAATTAAAAAAATTATATTTTATTAGTTGATTGAATATAATTTATTAAAATTATTTTTAAACAAATACATATAGATAATTAAGTATTTCAAAATTTTAAGTTTTATTTTTTAAAAATTTATTTTTTAATAAATATATATGATAGTATTTTCAAAATTTTAACAGTTTTATTTTTAAAAATTTATTTTTAATAAATATATATGATAATGAAAACATAAATTTTTATAATTTTCTTTTTTAATATTTTAAATATTTAAATTTATGTTTTATTATTAATTTAAAAATTGTCAGGGCATATCCCACAACAGCGGACGTAAACGACCCGAAAACCATGGGCCGGACCCAGGCACTAGGGCCAAGGTAAGCTTAAAGGCCCAAACGAGGAGCCCGTAGGAAGTAAGCCTGAATCAATAAAATTCTCCTTTCTCAATATAAATTTCAAACATTTTAGCCCCATTACTACTAGAAAAATAAACCTTCAAGATTTTATTAAATCTGCGGCCCCAAATTCATCATCTACAACATTTCATAGTTCGGGCCCAAATTAACAATACATCACATTTCTAAATATGGAATTTACACAAAAAATTATTCGTCTATATTAATAACACGACTAATCGCTATTGTTAAATCATACAACTGCGGAAGTCACTAACTATTTGTATACATTAGCTTTTCTTTTTTATACATATAATACATTGCTAAAATAATTATTAAACAACTGGGAAAATTTCTTCTAGTCCTGCGGCAAAGGAACATAACTTAACCGAATTTAAAGAGAAATTTACTTCCTTTAAAAAGTTAAAACAAGGATATGTGAGCCTTCTTAAGATAGTTAATACCTATAGCACAAACACACCTCATTCACACAAATGAAGTAAATATACAATCTAGTCATCCGACTAGTTATTTGCTCACGCAGCCAGTCACACCAAAATGGCATATCATCAGCACTCACAAATCATTAAACATCTTCATGTAATCACATCGACGTGGAAATTAGTCCAGTGGCAGCCACCTGAAACCCAATACGAAGCCGTTCCTCACACATGGCTCGGCCCTCTCATACATGTGCACCAGGGAGCATCCCCGCATACGGCAACTTGGTCTAATTTCCTCACTGGACAGTCCTCTTCATTATTTTCCATTCTCTTCGTCTTCTTTCCATACCAACAGGAGGCAACCCGTGCGTCTCCATCCAATCTAGTATCATCAAAGTGCTCACAACAGGAGGCCACCCTGCGGCGGCTACAATCAAAATCTAGTATTGTCATAGGTGCGCAACAAAGAAGCCACCTGTGAATTTCCCATATAATCTATATCATCAGGGCACAAGGGGGCGCCGATCTCCCATTTTCCCGGCGGGACGTTCCAAATGTCAAATTTCATTAATCGGGATCCATATCACAGGACCGTCCTCACAAAACCCATGGTTGGTCCACTTCATCCCAAATTCCACACAAAACAAGGCATAAACATAATTCACAGCCAAGGTTAATCAAACAATGCAATCAAATGCAAGACATATTGATCAGTTGAGCATCATAATGCAATGCACAATTTAGGCATTCATTTCTTAAATACAATTTTTAAATAATTAAATTAAATGATATAACAAACAACCATAAGATAAAAATAATCATAATAATAATAATAATAATAATAATAATAATAAACAATGATAATCAAAATGAATAAATAATTGAATAATTAAATAAATAATAATGATAATGATAAAATAATTAGAGCACTATATTTATTATGTACTAAGTTATAGAATTAATCTAAATAAATTTATTAATTATGTTATTACTTAAAATTAGTCTAATTCTTATTGAAATTTCGGCAGCACCTCCCCGAAAAATTGGACTATCCACCTGTTTAGATAACACAGTATTATTATATATTTATCAATCAATGCACACAGCCCATCCGTCGGGCAATCAATCAACTTAATCATTTTCCTTCCTCCATCCAAAATAATAACATCAATATTTAATCGTCAATGTCAAACTTTAACTTACTATATAACATTAAGTAAGTAAATAAATAAATAAGCAAATAAGTGAAAAATAGCTATTTGCTTAACCTCCACACGTTACTAGTTAAACTATCTAATATAGACCCTTAACAATCATATAAAACTTCAAGCTCAACCATTGCATACACAAGTATATAAATATATCCCATAAATCATCTATAGTTTATACATGTCTTTCTTTCTTCATACCAATACTCACGGAATACAATTACAATTGCATTATCCTAAAATCCTAAACCAATTAACTAAACATATTGGACTATCGCAAAATCCGCATACTAATTGATTTAATTTATTTACAAAGGACTAAAAATGCTATATATTATTTAGGGCTATTCCAATAACCTAATTTCTTATTATTCAATTAATTTACTTAATTACTTCAATTAAATTTAGGTAATTAAACTAATTCAGAATTTATACGAAAATGGAGAATTGAAGTTTTTAGGGCTCGTAACCGATTGAAATTTGTGGCGACAATTCCACGATTCCTGCGAAGAGAGGAACATTCTGTCCCTTGGTGCCTCACCGGAGGCTCGCCGCCGGTCGCCGGAACCGCCGCCGTATCCGCCGTCCACGGTGGCCGGAAAATCGACTTTTTACCCAGAAATTTTTCGTTGACTCGCCACACCAAAAAATGCTCGAAATCTTATGGGGACTCCAATCGCGTGTTCCCATTTTGAAACTGGGTGTGCCTGCTTTAGCGGAAATGGCCCCGACAGTGGGCTCGCCACTGCCATTAATGGCAAGGGCTCCGTCATCCGAGCTTTCATCGCCGGAATTGTTGGGTGAAAAAGATTCTCCGAGAAGAGTGGGAGTCGACCGAAGCGTGTCCCTCTCGACCTCAAGCTGCCGGGAATCGGCGTAGGATCGCCCGAAATTTGGTGAACACGAACTGTCCAGGAGAACAGCTCCGTCTCGCTCCCATTTTAAGCTCTTTTCCGCCGCGAGAGGAAGGCTGGAAACACGACCACCAGTACCAGACGGAGCCGGACCGGGCCACCTCGCTTTCGTTTGACGCGGTGGCCGGGAACGAGAAGGAAAGGCGAGGAGGAGGCTTGCTGTCGCACGCCCAGAAGAAGAAGGAGAGAGGAAAAAGAAAAGAAGAAAACCAAGTCGGTTTTCTAGATCATTCCGGTCGATTCGAAACCGGCTTTGATCTGATTCAACAATTTGGCCCTCGCATTTTGCTTGATTCTCGAGTTTTTTCCACTGGTTTTCAAGTTATGTCGCGTGGTTTTCGAAAAATCAATTTGATTTTCGGGGATCCGGTTCGCATTTATTTTTTGATTATTTTAGTTAGGGTTCCATAACATTTCCTCCATTTAATTTAATATTAATCATATTGTAGAGGTTATATTATTTTCTCGGGAAATTTAAAGGTTTCTCGAATTCGGATATTCCAACTTAGAATTATGTTTGCGGCTTTTGGGCCCCAATGGCAAATTGGGCTCAAATTAAAAATTGTTTGTATTTACAGGCCCATACCGTCAACAACATTCGGATTTTGTGATTTATAAAAATTTTCTAAAAATTTTTTTGAAAATAAAATTTACGGGGTGTTTCAAAAAATATTTTATTTGGGAGAGATTAAAAAAGTATTTTATTAAAATAATTTTATTTGGGGAGAGATTAAATATTTTATTTGGGAGAGATTAAAATATTTTTTATAATATTTTTATGTTTATATAATTTGATTGAATTTTATTTTTTAAAAAATAAATTTTCAAATAAAAAAAATAAATTTTCAAATAAAATATATATTATTAAATCTTTCGAAATTTTTAACTTTTAACTTTTTATAATTTATTTTTAAATAAAATGAAAAGGTGTGTGGGATGGCATTTGAAAATTTTAATTTTAAAAATATATTTATATAATACTAAATTATTATATCTAGGTATCTATAATATTGAATTGTATTGTATAAAGCTTTGGTATTAAGCATAAAAAAATGGTAAAAAAAAAAACGTGAGAAAGGGACCGAATTAATCTGAGTTGGTGAAGAATAATAGAGAACGGAGAGAGGCATAGTGCCACATCCACAGGCTTCAGGTCATCCGCTTTCCAGAAGGCCTCTTATTTTATTTGTTATTAATTTTTATTTTATTGCAAAAACTCCAATTTTATGAAAAACACATTACTTGGATGACTTTTCCTCAAAAATTTAAAAGTTTAAAATCATACTTAAAAGCAAATTCAACTGTTTCAAGTATGAAGTCTTAGTACTCATCTTCAAGTACCTTAAACATGTTAGTTATGTGCTCTATAGTCAATTTGATTGATTATATTTTAAATATAATATTTCATATTAATAAATGCATTTATTTATTTTTTATATTCTATTGATTTATATTTCTATTTGATTGAATTCTTGGTTAAAAAGATAAAAGTCCATGAGATTAATACTGTTTTGTGAAATAAATATATTAATGTGGCTATAATTATGAGTTTTATATTTGCATTTAAACATGTCTCTAAATATTCCTCCTCCTCCATGTCAATATTCTCCTTATTATGGGACGATTTAATTGAGATGTTGAGATTGATACATATTATGTTCTTTTTTTTAAGA